AGCTCCCTGAGGGGAGAACAAAGAGAAAGGACTAAGCACCAGCACCAAAGGAAGAGCGCCGAGGCTCAATCACCAGGCCACGAGGGCAGGAAAAGCCACGAAAGCAGACTGACTGGAAGGGCTAACTGGGCGACAGGAGGACAACCAGGAGAATGTGGCTTCCAGAAGCCGGCACAGCCTGGTCGAGCAGGGTGAAACACTGCCTAAGTGGTCTGCAGATGAGATCTATTTTATGGGAGAAAGCACGTCTGTCTGCACAATAGACTCTTCAGGAAAAGCAGAACCTTCTGTCGGCCAAAGTTCTCTCTGCCGTCTGCCTCATTTCCAGAGACAGTGCGAGAGACCAGTCTTTCACCATCTTGCCCCCAGAAGTGTGCTGCAATCATAAGACAAAAGACCAAGTCCCTAGCCCCAAACTTTAAAACGAGGAAGAGAGTATCTATATAAAAAGGAGACACAAAATACTTGGTAAGGTACTGTCAAATCTAATGCTAAACTAAAATAATGTATTTGCCAAACGGACAGCTGGTAAAAATACGTTACCATCTTAAGAGGTGAAGGTAAGGAGTAACTCAGAAGCACTATGTAACTATGCCCTTGAGATTCTGGAAAATCATGCCAAAACATCCCAAGCAGTAATGCCTTCCCTGGTGGTTCAGTGGGTAAAGAATCCTCCTGCAATGCAGGAGACACAGGAGATGCGGGTTCAATCCCTGGGTCAAGAAGATCCATCCTCTGGAGAAAGAAATGGCGATCCACTCCAGTTTTCTGGCCTGGAGAATCCTCATGACAGAGGAGTCTGACGGGCTGCATTCCATGGGGTCACACAGAGTCAGACATGACTGAGCGACTGAGCACTCCCATCCCAAGCAGCAGTGCCTCTGGGAGGATGTGTGCTTGTGAGTTACAACTAAGTGAAATAAGTGGCCTTGAGATTTTACGTTTCTTAATACATAGTCATCTCTCTTGGCAAAGAGTTCTGTACATTTCATGTATTATGCTGAATAAGTTCCAGTTTATAAATAAGTTTATTTCTTGAAAAAAAAAACAGAAGCACTGGTGTGAGTAAATATAACTCTTTATGTGTTTAACTCTGCCCTATGTGCAGGTACTCTGGTTCCAAGAGTACTTTCCAAATTTAAAAAATGTATGTGTTTAAAAAAAAATCATACATCCTCAATCAACTGACTTTATTCTTCTAATTCAAATAGCTTCCTAATAAACAAGTAATTATTCTTTTTCTCAAGTTTACACATTCATGTGTGTGTGTACACACGCTAAGTCGCTTCAGTCGGGTCCAACTCTTTTTGACCCCATGGACTATAGCCCTCCAGGCATCTCTGTCCATGGGATTTTCCAGGCAAGAATACTGGAATGGGTTGCCATGTCTTCCTCCAGGGGATCTCCCCGACCCAGGGATCGAACGTCTCCTACACTGGCAGGTGAGTCCTTTACCACTAGCACCACCTGGGAAGCCCTTACGCACTCATACACATTATCAAGCATGCCAGCCATCACGTGTCCGTCACGTGTGGTCTCGGAGCTCACTGACCCATGGGGCCATGGAGCCCAGAAGCATTTCCAACAGAACAGTACTCGGCACCCTAGCAGGTTTGAGCTGGGTGCCACGGGACTTGGATTCCCTCTGGAGTCCATGGCAGTTGCCAAAGGTGTTAATTAGGAAGAACCAACCTACGATTAAATTATATTTCAGAAGAACCCAAAGTTGAAAAACTGTTTCTGGCATTAGTCCTGAAAGCTGCAGCTGAATTAGGCCCTGGAATTTAAAAGGCAAACAAACAAACAAAAGAACAGATCCTGGTCTCTCAGAGACAGAAAAAGAGAACACTAAGAAAATGGGGAAAGAGCTGTAGAAAACCCATTTGGTCATAAAAGACTAGCTAGCTATTGGGATAAGTAAGTGGCAGAGACTATATAAATCAGAAAGTGCATTTACTCTTAAAAAGATTTCAAGTACTCAAGAAAGATGGTACAAGGCAGACAGGTAAAAATTAACAAGCTGAAAGAACATTAAGCTGTCTTCATTTTCAGCACAGCCTCAAAGCAGGGGGCGGGGGGGAGTTTTCATACCTGGTTTATAAGATGTTACTACAAATCATCATCTAAACTGCCTGTATTTGGCATGAATTGCATATTCAACACATACTTCTCTGGTTCTACAGGCCTCAAATAAATCTCTGTGAAAAATGTCAGCCTGGTGAGTTTGATAAAATCTTAGCAAACATGGCAGGCTTTCAGACCCCTGGGCTCTTTCGCTCTGAAGGAGTGTCACAGAGAACAGGTTCCAAGTAAAGACAAGTGGCACCATAAAGCCTCACGGTGTGTGAGGCAGCAGGGCAGAAAGATAGGTTAGGGAGGAACACTTAGGTACAAGCTGCCACACAACGCTCAGCTGAGCAAGAACAACTCTGCGCTGACCATCCACATGCACTCAGCTGCCTGAGAGCAGTCTCTGGGTGGCTTTTTGACTTCACTTGGTTACATCTGAGCTACAGAGTTGACACTAAGAAGATCTTCTAAGATAAGCTAACACTGATCAAAAAGGCTGCTTCTCACCACCTGGGCAGCAACGGGTCCCCTCTTGTGTGAAGCTCCCAGTATTTGGAACAAAAAAAAAAAACCCAGCCAGAGAAACGGATCCAGACAAACAGAAGGGAACCGGGGTCTCCTCCAGTTCTAAGTCTATCATCCTCTTTCTCCTCCTGGATTCCAGCGGTCACCTCCAGGTCCACACACTCACCAGGGAGAAAGCAGCTGTCACCTGTGGTTCTTTCCTCTCCCTTCCTCCCCACATCCAAGCAATGACCAAGCCTATCTTACAACTGTTGCCAATTGTCCCAGTTCTGTCCCTACTGCCACCATCTTTGCACAAGCTGGTGATGTGGCCTTCCTGCAAAAACAGAACTGCCCCACCCCGCTCCACACCAAGGGGCGCCCAGCCGGAGGCTCCTCGCCAGCTGAGGACTCCCGATCCGGGATCCATGCTCTACCTCAGTGCTCGATCTCCCTTCCCACTGGTGGGTTCTACACACTTCTTACACGAGGAAGGGCTCTTCGACACGAGACATCAAGAACTTGCAGGCAGATGCTGAAGATCAAAACACAGAAAGCCCTCCTAAGAGGAAGATGGAGAGAGACCTCTCCCAGGATAAGTTCAGGGAGGGGCAGGCTGGTTTAGTCTGCCTCTCCTGACGTGCCCAGACGGGCTGATGCTGTGAGAAGACTCAGCGCTGGACTGAGGGAAGGCTCTTCTTGTGACAGACACAAGTCTTTATCGGGGGACGCCTCTGGACATGCTGCCTGGCTATTCAAGGAGGATAACCCCCTGGAATCACTGCCTGCCAGATCAGACTTCTCTGAAACTACCCCAGGACCTCCCAAGACCCAACTTCTAAAGGGGAGGTCTGGCAAAGGTAACACAGGGACCATGTCTCTCCTACAGATCACCACAGCCTGTTCTTGCTGCTTCTGGGTTAGATCTGATCTAATCCATTCTCCTGGTGGCAGCCAGAAGTTAACAATCCTTCAGAAATGCAGGTCTGATCCTCCCACTCTTGCACCTGCACCAGCACACCCAGCCCACAGGACCATCGTACCTCGGCTGCAGAGCACCCCTTCAGCCTGAGCTACGCTGTCCCTCAAGGGCAAATGCCCAGCCATGTGTATTACCTTCTTCTGGATCTCGGCAGACAATGTTCCCTTTACTTCTAAGACCCTTCTCCCATTCTGCACCCCACCCTCTTCATCTAGAACACAGAACCAGCCTTCCAGTCGCTCCTCGGAAATCAATTCCTCTGGAAGGTTTCTCCAAGTATCTGCCATACTTCGCCCCAGTTTCCATTTCCAGGTCCTTATTCAGTTAAGAGTGTTCATCACGTTGACTGGAAACTGTCTACTTTCTTGTTTTACTTCCTAATAATGAGCTCTTCAAAGAAAGGGGTAGTACCCTATCCACTGTTACTCTGTCAACCTACAGCACTGGGCCTGACACAGCTGATACAATCAATAAACAGTTACTGATTGAATGAAGACAAAAACACATAAACTAACAGGAAAACGGAAGCAGTATCTCTGAGAGGCTGGGGAGAAAAGCAACAAATGACAATTTAGGAAAATGGAGAAGCTGCTGTTTGAATGACCTACATCTCACCATCAACCAAAAGAAACATCCCAAAGTGCTTCCAACAACATACCAGGTTCCTGAAGCCATAGAAAGTCAACATTAACAGAATATCTTCTTTTGTGGGGCGGTGCGGGGGGTAACATACACATGGTTGAGCTATTTCAAAAGAACGATCATAAATATGAAGAATTTTCATAACTGGAGGCTAACGCTGATCATAGAGACTTTATTCCCCCAAACATCCGATCTTCTACATCCCCCATGCTCTTCTCCATAAATCTCAGAAAAGGAGATGTGTGCTGAACAGAATCTAAGGCCAACTTCGTAGTACAGGCTTTTCTGTTTAGGTATAGATAGGGAAGTGTCTGGCATTTGTAATAGAAGAATGCTTTAAGGAAGGAGAAAAAAAAAAAAGGGACAAGATAGCAAACTGCATGCCATCACGGATCTTGGCAATCTAAGACAGTTTCTTATACACAGAACCCATTTTTAAAAGACAATGAGATGACTGAAAGAGTCCTAGACTTTTATTTTAGAGGATTAGGTCTCTTGATCACTAATAGCTGGAAGTTTAAGATTCTGAAACACTCTGAAACAAAAAACAAATGAAATCTGAAGAATACAGATGAATTTCTACTGACGATTTTTAATGGGATGTTAAGCAGTTTCCCGTAAAAGAATGGTTAAGCATTCATTACTTTAGTGGCTCCAGGAAGTACAGTGATTGGACAAGTGAGCCACTGTGTCTAATTTATACAGCCACATGCAGGCCCAAAGTCCCTCGACACAGCCAGTTTAAAAATACAGTGTCTTTCCTTGTTCTATTTTTACCATAACTCCTTTTTGTATCACTTACCGGAATGTAATAGATGCCCATCTTGGGGGCTTCATTGGCGGTAAGAAGCATTCCTAAAAATAAACACAATGAAAAAGGTAAACATAAGGGAAAAGAAAAATACTCTTCCTACTTGCTTTATATTTTGAAATGAGTGAAGTGCTCAGAACATGGTGAACGGCAGAAGAGCCAGACCAGCAGCCAGGCACCCTCGGAGTCAGGCTGTGGGCTCTGATCCCTGACCCTCCTGGACGGGGCATCTGAAGTATCAGAAAAAGCAGTTTTCCCATCTGCAAAATGCTCAGGCTGTATCAGCTAAGTGATCGAGCGGTTCCCACAGAGAAGGGCCGCCATTTTTAAGGGGGTAAGTTTTAAGCTTCAGACACACCGATAAAAGGTAGAGTCGATGCACTATTATGTATTATGAAAGTTAAGAAAGGGATCTTTCTGCTAATCGGGAATCAAAGAACCAAAGTAAAGCATTTCCCACAAGATGTCACAGCAAAGTAGTTCCTCATGTTTGAATTAAACTTTACACCTTAATAGAAAACAAAATGGCTTAGAGGAATGCTATGTGTAGCTACACTAGAAAAGACCCAGATAGAATCCGACAGCCTTTACCAAAATGATTCACCCAGAGAGTGGCTGATAATTTAGTCCAGGGATCAGTGTTCTCAGAGAGTGAGAATGGAGTGAGGGACAGCCTGTGGGATCCAGTGACGCCCCCCCGCCCCCCCCCCCCCAACCCCAGGAGCAACAGTAACGGATCCACTACGCTTCGGCACAGAACCAGGGCCCTCAGCTGGCTCAGCCCTGGGCTCAGGTCTCTGCCACAAGTGCAGCCTGCTCCACCCTACCCCACCCCCGCCCCCGCAGGGGCTCTCACGGCAGCTCCAACCCTCTCTGCCCTGTTCCAGAACGATGCACCAAAGCAAAACTGAAGTCAGTCCTTTGTAATTTACAAAACACTTCTGCGTACTTTATCTTGGTGAACACGTGACAACTCTCTGAGGTAAGGACTATCATCCTTATTTACATATCAAAAAATAAAGCTCACATGTACTGAGTTACAAGTGCTGAGCACAACATTCAGAACATTACAAGCTAGAGAACTTAAGAGCAAAATTTCAGTCAAGAACTCTTGTTTTTAAATACCTTTACATATCAACTTACATTACCTTCATTTAAAAAGTCTATTTGTAAAATACAACAGAAAAATCCACAGAAAGCACACATTTGGATTACCAGACCCTGACCCAGGGATCAAACCCAGGTCTCCTGCACGGCAGGCAGCTTCTTTGCTGTCTGAGACGCCACGGAAGCTCACAGTCCTAATTAAGTACACCAAACGTTAAGGATGGTGATGTAATTCTGTGATTTAAAAAGTACTTTTGTGTTGCTCTTCTGTTAACACAAAAGCTTGCCAAAGGGATGCTCTTGAATGCTGTTAAAAGAAATAACGACGCTGAGGTAGAGGAGGTTCACTGACAGCCAGAGAGCAGGAACTCAACACTCTGCTGGCAAAGGCATGTCACACATCAAGTCCAAAGGGCGAGTGAGTCCTGAGCTGGAACCAACCTTCCCCGGAACACACACACACACACCCTTCACAACGCACACACACCTTCACCAGAACACATACACACACAACCTTCACCAGAACACACACACACACACACACACACACACACACACGCACACTCGAGGAAGCAAGAAATGTACGTCTACGTGAAAGTCAAGTAAGACTCAGACACTTTCTCATAGCTTGTAGCCTCTACAAACTCTTTCATGTGGAAACTTTTTCCGGCCCTGGAGACAACTGTTCACTGAAGTTCACCACAGGAAGAAACCACCTCTACTGACCTGCGCTTCCCAAGTCTAACAGCACCGTCAGAACTTCTCCGAGACCTTTAGACAGGGTTAAAGAAGAAAGTCTGGAGATCGAAGAGACATCTTACAACCAGAAAGAAGGCTCCCAACAAAGACACCCCCTAAGCCCCGCACCCCTGAACATTCAACAGTGAACACTCTACAAGGAAACATACCACCCCTACAAAACAGACCACAGAAAAGCCTTGGCTCTAATTACACAGATGAATCCAGGCTGGATGCAGCAGACTGTTTCCTACAATGAGCAGGACCTCACTTGACCATATATGGACACCACCACAAGCTGACCTACTGAGAAACTGAAGTCGGGACGGTCATAACCGAGTTATGAATGAGAAAACAACCTCACACAGCCCAGGGAACACGAGGAGTTTCTAACAAGAGGGAAGCAGGAAAGTTAACACAGTGATGGAGTTAGTTCAGCAGAAATTAAGATGATCACAGGTAAAAGGCGAGAAGAGGGTGAAGTACCAGGCCAGGCAGTCCACCTCCACAGGTAAAAAAGTAGCTCGGGAAAGCTAGACCATTTGCTCAAGGTCACCACAGAGCTAGCTGACACTGGGCTGATTCCAAAGCCCGTATAACATGGGACTCCAAAACTCCAATGACAACTAAGATAAAGTGAAAAGACTCCTTGCACGATCAAATAAATCATTAAAACACACAGATATAAACACCATACAGTAACATGACAACTGTATTAATAACAATGTCAAACTGAAAAGCAAAAGACAACTACACATGGTGACAATTTAAAACACATGAATACGTGATTTATAAGATAAGAATTTCTGGGAATTCCCTGGTGGTCCAGTGTTTTAAGACTCCACTCTTCCAAGGCAGGGAGTGCAGGTTCAATCCCTGGCTGGGGAACTAAGATGCCACAGGCTGCTCAGTGTGGTCCCCCAAAAAGAATTCCTCTAATGGAAGGAGTAATGACACTTGTGAAGAGATTGTGGGGTTATGGCTTTTCCTTAAAATTTCCTTACAAGGGGGAGACAGAGGATGAGATGCCTGGATGGCATCACTGACTCAATGTACACTAGTTTGAGTAAACTCTGGCAGACAATGAAGATGGGGAAGCCTGGCATGCTGTAGTCCACAGGGTCACCAAGAGTCGGACACAACTGGGCAGCTGAACAACAGCACCAATAATAAAAATAGGAATCTCGCAAGAGAAGGCAGAGATCATCAGCACTGAGGAGGAAGAGCACACAGCTCCAGGGTGGACAGCGGAGTGCAGGACATGGTGTGCCCAGTGGGGCCACGGCGTGCTCCCCAGAGACACGCAGAAAACAAATCTCATCTGTCCAGGCTTTGGGGGCGGAGGACTCAGGGACGGTCACAGCTCGAAATCAGAAACACTGCTCAAGCTAGGACAACTCAAAGCGTGCTCCCCAGGCCAGTCTGAAAACTGCTATCCAGCTGGCCAGTAAGTGTGGAAACAGAAAAATTTAGGAATCTGTATAGCGACTTGACCTTGCAGCAAGTTCCAAACATGTGACCCTTTTTCTACTAATTCATCTTTATGATGTTTGACAAAAGTATCCATCTGCAATGGATTGGAAATTTAAAAACAAAACAAAAAACATAAAAGGCTGGTCCTTCACCAGATACATCTGAGAATCACTGGAGGGCATCGGGTCATAGCTGGAGTGGCTCAGAGCAGACAAGCTGTGCGGACCTGCCCCGTGCTGGAGGGGAAAAGACAGGACACGCCTTCTCATGCAGTCAACCCCTGCAGATAGAGGGAAGCCTGCTGTTTTACTACACACGGTGCCAAGGCTAGTGATGGGCCGGCCACATCTTATTTCTCGGAAGGCTACTGGGAGGTTATTGAGAGAATAAAAGGCAACTTCAGGTCTGATGTACAGACAGCCTCCACCAGGCCTAAAAGCAGGTAAGAAACAGCCTGGATCACTGGTATAATTCTGAAGCCTGAGCAGCCTTTCTGAGTGGACATCTCCTTTTCCTTCTCCCAGTGGTTCTGGATTCCACAGGTCAGGCTGGGGCCCAGAAAGCACTGCGGACCAGGGTCGTGGGGCCACGGCCTCAGTTTCCCAACCTACAGGGCAGCACCCAACGTGGAGACACTGTCTGAGCAACTAGAAGCTGAAGGAGACACCAAGGCAGGACTGGTTTTCAGCGTTCCGAGCAGTCTGAGCATCAGAAACACGGAACAGCAAGCAGTCATGACTCGGCTTTAATCACTCCAAAATGAGTGAGTGAGAAAATAAAGAACGCTTAAGCTCACAGTGATGAAGCAAAAAAACCTAACCAACAATGTTAAAGGGACAGAGGCTAAAGTGAGGTTAAGACAGCAAAACCTGTGAACCAACCATGCTCGGTCCAAACCCCAAGACAGCCGTGGAGGAGCTTGCCTTTCTGGGCTTGCCAGCTCGTGAAATAAATCATCTGGCTAGTGTTTGTGTTTGATTATGCTCTTATAAGCTATCTGACAGTAAAGTCACTCTTCTGACCAAAACACCGTCTCTAAGGTTCTACCTGCCAGGAAAGCATCCTATGTAACAGAGAGGACTGCTGGCCATCTAGGCAGAGCCATCATGCTTCACCTTGCTCGCTCTAGGATGACCAACAGGATGGGAAATGACATGGAGAACCCGTCAGCCCTGAGCACCACCCCTGTCCCAATATTTAACCCACAGTGCACTGGGCTGTTAGATTTCACTTCTATTTTAGAACAACAAAAAAAATAAAGGGGCTGGAGGAACAAGTAAAGAACACTGTGAAAAATAATCACAGGAATCCAGGATGCAGAATATCTTATGAGAATACAGACCTGATGGTAGAAAACTCAGTGCCATGGAGGAAGGGGAAGAAAGGATGGGAGAGAATTCCTGATTAAGAGAAGTGGAAGACATAACAACTAAATGTAATCCACAACCTTGGTGATAGACTAGTTTCAAATAAATGGGCTTAAAAAGGAAGACATAACAACTAAATGTAATCCACAACCTTGGTGATACACTAGTTTCAAATAAATGGGCTTAAAAAGGAAGACATAACAACTAAATGTAATCCACAACCTTGGTGATACTAGTTTCAAATAAATGGGCTTAAAAAGGCATTCAAATAAATGGGATGAAAAAGGCTTAAGAAGGGCAAGCAGGGGAATGTGAAAATGAAAGGTATTATTAGGAAAGGACTGCTTTCTTATGTGGGGTAACAGTACTTTTGGTACCAGAAGAAGGCTTCTACTCTGGTGAGATTACAGTCACATTCCATGCCTGCAGTTGACTCTGAACATCATGCACCTTATCAGCATTCTATACTGTTAAAGCCCTCCACGTCTGGACTAGCCCTGCCCAACAGAAATACCATGCAAGCCACATAAGTGACTAAAAATATTCTGGTAGACACATTAAAAAATTTTTTTTAAGCAGGTAAAATAAATTTGAGTATATTTTTATTAACCAGTAAGTCTAAAATATTTTCACTTTAATACATAATCAATAAAAAAAATTAATGATCTACTTCACATTCTTTTTTTTTTTTGGTATAACATCTGAAGTCTGGTGTGTATTTTATGTTTAGAGCACATATTTCAGATTAGTTACTCTGCAAGTTCTCAGTAGCCAGAGGTAAGCACAAACCAGTCAGCAACAGGCTGACAACTTTCGTCACCATCTGCACCCTTCAAACTCCCACTCCTTCAAACCAACTAACCTCTTGTTCCAACTTCAGCTTCACCTGATTTTACTCACCTTTGTACTTAGCCCAAACCCCATTTTAGACCACTCAGCATCTTGACCTAGGACCCCAGCACCTTCATTAATTTCTGAATTCATCACAATTTGACTCATCCCTATTATAAGAAAATTCTCCCAATGATCACAGATGAAAAGCTAATTACGAAGGCCCAGGGTTTCTCATCTTTCTCAGGAGAGTATCCTGTAACTTAAGAGCGAGCAGAGGCTCCATGATTGGGGGAGGCTCGCTCCAACTGAGATTCTGCCACACAGCGACTGGGCAACCACCCCCAGGCACATATCTCAGTTTCCTCACCTCCAAAGATGTAAGAGGGAAGGAAAGGGGGAAGGAAGGGAAGGGAAGGAAGGAAAGGAATGGTAAGGGAATCACTGACTCTCCCGTGTTATGAAAGGATTAAGTGACAACCACTATGACATCTAGACCCGCAGCACAGGGCCTTCCTGCCCCTTCCTGCCTCCACTTCTGCAATGCTCTGCTCACTGAGCAATGCCTGGGCAATCACTTCTCTCTACTTCAATAGCTGCTGGTTCCTTCACTGTCACTCTGTCAGCCTCTCTGCTGGCTCTTCCCTCTCATCACCCTTCCCACGGACTCAGGTCCTGCTAGTCTTTTTGTCTCCTTTCCCCATCGGTAACTGCCTCCACTGCCGCTTCCGCGATGACCTCTATTTACATGTCTTACTTACTTCCCTTGGGCCACGCTGCCTACTGTGCCCTGGACGTGGCTCCCAGTATGAGGCTGTAGGTAACGGCGGGGCTCCACAACCACTTGGGAAGCAGGTGGAAAATAACCTATTTCAGGGCTCTCCCCCAGAGACTCTGAGTCTGCAAACTTGGTATGGGGCTGAGGAATCTGTACTTCTTAAAAAGCTCCCAGGTGATATTGGTGGGTAGGCAGGTTGGAGACTCTCTGCCAGACACCGCCACTGCCTCACTGCCTCCTCAGACTCAGGTGCTCAAAGAAGACAACACCATCTTTCTCTCCGAGTCTGCCCTCTCTCCTATGCTGCCAATCTCAGCTCTACGTATCTCTTCCTACTCATTTTAGCTCAAAACTGATCTACCTTCTGCCCAGTGGACAAAAGTGCCTTCTGCGACCATGGTCTGCATCGGTCCTGACCACAGACAGCACCCAGCCACTCAGCGTGGTCACTCTGGGGCCCCCACCCGACGCACCACCTGCTTCCCACCCCATTCCTCCCACAGACCCTACACTCTGGCACACGGGGCTCCTCCTGCCCACCACGTCTCTCACCCAGCACCCATACTCGGTGCCAACAAAAACCTCCCCTCTGCCCTCCTCTCGCTGCTCTGCCTGGAGCCCCTCGCACTCCTGCCGTCACAGGGCCGGTGAGCACCTCCGTAACAGAACTCCTGTTTTGCCTCATATCCCTCCATCAGAATTATCTGTGTGTGTCCGTCCTCAGGACACAACTCTGCAGGAGAGTGAGAGGCATTCTCATTTCCTCTCCTTCCCCAGAATTCTTCAGATTTGCCTTGAAGGTGTTATTAAATCTCAAAATCTGCCAAGTACTTTACAGAACTGCCTGCCACACAGAATATACTCAACGCATGGCCTCTCCAGCCTTGTGTATCATCAGGCAACCCTGGCCTCCTCCAAATCCCTAACCTCAACTTCTACTCACAATTACCAATCCCATAAAAGAGCTAAAGCACACACTAAAATAGCACCTCGCCTGCCACTGACCCACAGACTGCCACCAGCTTCTCCTAACAGCTAGGCTGGCTGAGGACTGAGTCACTGAGCATGTCACTTTCTGAAGCATCCATATCACTTCCTGCTCTTAATTTTTCAAGTAAATACAATATCTAAAAACTGTCCTAACTGAGCCAAACCCTGTCTTAAGAAATGAAATGAGTTTAAAACCCTGTAAAGCAAAGCCTAGATTCATCTCACAAAATGGCCTGCTGCTCTGCACTGCATACCTGAGTTGGGGTAGAGGCACACATCATTAAGGTCATGTTCTGGCTCCAAGGAAGTAAATATTTTTCCCTAAAAGAGTAAGCAAAAGTGAAGTGTTAAAACAGTCAAAGGAAGACAACTTTTGGCAATGTGATATAAAGGAAGTAAGCTGGAGACGTAACTCCATATACCCTGCTTATGTGAGAAAATAAAATCACCTAACAGAAATCACAGAATTTAAGGTTAAAAAAAAATCTTAGAGAATTTCATTTATCAATTTATCAAATCCTCTCATTTTAGACAGGAAGAAACCGAGGCTCAGTAGAGAAAGCTGACTTTCTGGGGAAAATAAATACGAACTTTTAAAGATAATGTCTACACAACAGGCAAGGATAAAGTTTAAAATAAAACTTTTTTTAAGCTGTATGTCAGCTTAAAAAAAAAGTCCATAATCTGGAAGACAGACCCTAGTTAAACCTGTCCTCAAAGAAACAAAGAAGAGATGGTCAACATGGTAAAATGAGGCCGATATCTGCCATCCTGTGTTTCAAGGATTTGAGGAGGATCAAATAAGATAATGAATATAAGAAAAAAACATGAATATAAGATAACAAAATGCTATAAATACATAAGGTGCTAGTTATTACACAGTGAAGGGTAGAATATTTTATTTTAAATGTGGGGGAAAATATGCTGTATTTTTAAAAATTAACAGAAATTAAGTGAAAGAAAAAAGAAGATAATAGATGGGAGGGAGAAAGGGTGATGAGAAAGATAAACAAGGAGAGCGAGTCAAGCAAAAGCAAGTAATTTGGGTGTTGGTCGAGAGGGCGTATTCAGTCATTACAACAACGCCAAGGTAAAACTGTAGCAACTCCAACATGACTTCAAGAACTGATGTTGAAAAAGTCTGCCAGCTCGTGCATTTATTAACCCATTATTAGAGAGGCTCCATGGCGGTGGGGGGAGGGGGGGTACTAAAAAACTAATTTCGTGCTCCATGAAAAACAGCAGCAAGGTTCTAATTCCAGACAGACAGTGAAACACACAGCTACCTCCCTTTTGTCTCAAGTTTCCAATGAAACGAAAAATGTAAAGAGAGGAGGAAAAAGGAAGGGGAAATCGGAATAACAATAGTATGGAACAAAAAAGAGATGGTACCACAGTTTGTGAAATCCACTTTGGGGAAAACTATGCCCATTGGAGGGCCAGGAAGGGGGCATTCCGACTGGTTTGTCATCACCTATAGATAGGATGGGAGCCAGGCCATGGAAAACTTCCTCTACCAGTGTGTTACGAACTTTCAAACATGAAAAGTCGGCATTTGTATGGGTAAAAAGAAATGTTGTTTTAAAGTACACTAGTTTGGATTATCAGAAAAGAGTAGAGAAAAATTCAGGCCTAAAACACCATGAATCTTCAAGAAAGTCCTCAAGACCCTCCCAACTCAAAGCAGGACAGTCGGCTCCTGGGTGATGAAGTGTCAGGGGAATTCTTCCGAGGACTGATGAGAGCCGGAGGCCCTTCCTTTTCTCTGTAAGAAAGCCTCAGGAAGGCCCAAGAAGGTGACAGGGCTTGAGAGACAGGACACGCCCCAGGGATAACTCAGTCTCCACAAAGATCCAGAGGAAAACACAGAGGGAGCAGAGTAAGGTCAGTACTTTGAGAGCTGACAAGCTGTCCCAGCAGCCAGGGATTCCCATCAGCAGCTGACCTGTGATGAGGCCGCTGGTGGCCCCTCTGCCCTGTGTAGGGGAGCCCCATGGGAAGGACTGATGCTTGCCCTCCAGCAACTAATGCTGAGGCTCTTGGCCCCCCCAACTCTTTACCTCAAAAATGAATCTATTTACAGTAACACTTTAAAGATGCTAAGTTTGAAATCAATAAATGCAAAGACTCTTAGAAGCAAGTGCTACACTGAATGAATTTTGTCCCAGTAGATGAACTAACCTTTTACTACTCTCTCACAACAGGAGAATCAACAACATAGGGTTTTGTTACTTTTTAAACGACATTTAAAAGGGAACAGAATATCAAATATTCTTAAAATATTGCTTTTAAGGAAAACACTATATAAGAAATTCGGCTTCCCTGGTGGCTCAGACGGTGAAAAATCTACCTGTAAAGCGAAAGACCTGGATTTGATCCCTGGGTTGGGAAGATCCCCTGGAGAAGGGAACAGCTACCCACTCCAGTATTCTTGCCTGGAGAATTCCATGGACAGGGGAACCTGGTGGGCTAAAGTCCATGGGGTCACAAAGAGTTGGACATGACTGAGCGACTTTCACTTTTCATGTAAGAAATTACTGTAAAGGTATCATATCTAAAATCTATTTGTTTGACACAAGGAAAGGGTATGAAATTGAGATGCATTAACAACACTGATATGGGAAGATTAGTGCGTGTGTGCTCAGCTGTGTCCCACTCTTGCGACCCCATGGACTGCAGCCCACAAGGTTCCTCTGTCCATGGTATTTTCCAAGGAAGAATATTGGAGTGGGTTGACATTTCCATCTCCAAGGGATGTTCCCGACCCAGGAATTGAACCTGCATCTCCTGCATTGGCAGGCAAGGATTCTTTATCACTGAGCCACCAGGGAAGCCCGGAAAGATTAGTAGTAGCTCATTAAAAGTTTCCTAAAGTTGTAAAAGAGCCTCAAAATCTAGGGACTTTCTCATGGATCAAATTTTTTAAGAATAATGATTTACATCTACCTAACAACATGTAAAAATGCGTGCCAGTTCTAGCAAATGAGGAAAAGTTCTTAACAAGAAGAAAACGACCTTGAGGACCTGGAAGTTAACTAACTTTCAGTGAAGGGCCTGAATGGATACTAAGTATTTTTTTTCCCAAGAACCCACATAACTCAAACAAGGCAACTGGAAAGAAAAGGAAAATAGGCAAGTAAGTCATTTTAACAACAAAAAATACTTACTGAGTTCTTATTCCACATTTTGATAATTCGAGAGTCAGCAGACAAAATCAAATCTAAGGAATCCTGGAAATGAACTGATTTAATGGGCAGCCCATATTGGTGATCTTTAACTAGCAATGGCTTATCAGATCGAAGATCATACAATAAAACCTGAAAGAAAAAAGGTATTTCTGTTTAAATAAAATATTTCATCTTAAAAAGAAACTTTAAAAATGAACATCCTCACTCAGAGTACAAAGACTCTAAAGTAAGTGTCAGTCAGCAAAAATACTCCAGAAAAATCTCCTCAAGTACCCTTCCAGAGTATGGCTCTACGGATTCAACCCGAAGAGTAATTTTTAGGCACACTGAGATTGAGAACTACCTGGATATGTTAAGGAAGGAACCAAAAGGAAAAAGTGCACAAGAATTTGTGTCATTTATGAATTTAATAAATATAAACACTGAGGGCCTAGTATGTACCAGGCACTCTCCCAGTGGCGGAAAGAAACAAGAACAAGAATCATCATGAAGGCAGTGGTGGTAGATTAGAGACAGATGCTGGTGGCAAGGCTATGACCTTTGGGGGCGAGGGTGGGGTGAGGGGGGCAGAGTTCTCTTCTGAGCTCTATCCTGGTAGGCAAGGGGCCTGGGGAAGCTGGATCTCAGACCCAGGTGACAGATGACACAGGCACTCTGTTGGAAGCAGGGCTCCCGCCTAAGCTGAGGTCTGGATGGACTTAAGTGTGTGGGCTCTGCCTTGAAGGAAAGGGAGAAAGATGAAATTAAATCTCTGAAGCTATTTCATTCATACTCCTCAGACTAGTCAGCATTCGCTGAGGCATGTCCCACTCACCACTCCCTGCACAGGATGTGGGAGACAGTGCTGGGTGGGAAAAAAAAAAAGGATCCTTGAACAAATACCTTTTAGAAACACTGACTCAGCACATTTCTTGTCTACAGGGATTCTCAGAGCCTCCACTATATATTTAAATGTGCTATAAACCTCAAAGATATGAATCTAGATAATTCCAAATTTTTGTTTTTCCATAGAACTCTGTTCCACACACTCGAGAAAACGCTGCTCTAAACCACAGTCAAGAAGACACCTGAGGCGTAGCCCCACTGCAGCTTCAGCTTGAGAATCTCTCAGACCCATCACTGGGGCCAGAAGCAGAGCTTCTCAATGTCCTGACGGAACACGGCAATCTGAGTACCCTGTCCACGCTGGCCAAAACAGTAACTCCTCAGTGCCTGATCACACACAGAACAGACGAGTGGGTGTTTCCCGTGATACACACACCCCTGAAACAGTAACTTAAGAGCGAAGTTTCCAACTGAAACCTATTTACCTGCCCTGTGGATGTTCCAACGGCCATGGTCAAGGCACCATTAAATTTCAAAGCAGAGATCGTTGGCAAACTGTTGATTCTGAAAGGCAAAATATTTGTGTTCCATGCGTATATGGTCAAATCTCCTTCCAAGTAACAAATTATTACTCTTCACTTCTAATGGAGAGGATCACATTTCTAGTCTCCTATTTAAAAGGTAAACTGTATCCAAACTTTCTAAGCCAAAATGAAAACTAACCTTTACTTATAAATGTAACCCACCTGAAAAAATTTGCAGGTTATCCTCTTTTAAAACTGTAAGAAACATTCTTAAAGTGACAAACAATAAAAGTTACTAAAAATATAAAACCAATTGAAAAGGACCAGTATGACAGTATCTTTCATTTTGATTAAGCCAAAATGAGGTATTTACAGAAACGCCTCTTTTGGCTTAAGAGGAAACAGTTTTATATTCAGACATGGGTATACCCATTTTCATTTTTAAAATCAACAATATCAAGCTAAAAAAAAAAGACTAGTCCCCAGATGAGAGCCTAGAATCTCTAGAAGTAACAGAGTAATGGATGTTTACAGCTATTAATCTAGAATATGTTTCTCAGGCAGTAACCAAGAGTAACTCTGGGGTGGGAAGGGTCCTAGATGAGGAGTCAGAAGCGGGCCACAGTCCGATTTCAACAGCTTTGTCTCCACGACCTTGGACCAGAACCTAGAGTCCAGGCCGCTGACTGCTGGCATCCTCAGGCCTCTTACGCCACCTAAAGCCTCAGCCTGCAACTACATAGATGCATCGGGTCCTCTAGGTAGCATCAACTTCCGTCACTGACTCTTCAAACTGAACTCTGGAACCAATTTCTTGGTGAGGTGATACTGTTTTTGCTCATTTATTCAAACCTGTTTGTTTCTTAATAAAATGTAGTCCTTTTCTTCAGATAGTTACTTATCAAGCTTAACCCTCAATATTTTACAATTTTTGTTATAAATGAGAACTAGTTTTCATTGTATCTTTCTACATGGACTTTGCTGATAAACATCAAAGCCATTGATTTTGTACATTTATTTTGTAGCCAATTTACTTAAATCTCATACTAGTTTTTAGAGTTTTTCAGTTTATTCTACTGGGTTTCTTGGGCAGACAATCACATACATCACCTGTAAACAACAAAGCCTGTCCTCCCCTACCCAATATTTAACTCATATTTCTTTCTCTGACTGTATTGGCTTCTCCTTCCAGAAGGTCACCTATGTCCAATAACAGAGGTGACAGCTTTTAACACTTGTGCTGGAAAAAAATAAAGCTAAGTGTAAAAAAGTAATAAATAAAATCACCCAAAACTAAATCGACAGGTAAAGCTACTTTCAACACTACAACATATCCAGATTTCTTCCTGGTATACATACAAGTTCACTGTTTTTCTTATGAAAATGTAGTAATACTCGATAGGTAACTGTGTGGTTTGCCTGGATTCCACCACCAGATCCTACAGAAGGGGAAATATAAATTCCTGTAGCGTATACATTTTAACTCAGTTCCACGGTAACTAAATAAACACGGAACTCCATCCGGCTTCCCCAGTTAGTGAGCTTCAGCAGGGAAGGATTTTTCTAGAAAACAATCACAAAACCACAACCCCAGAGAAACATGTTTTAAGAGTTTCATCTTTCAGCAACTGCTTTTAATTTAGTATTGACACTGTTGTTGCTGCTCTTCAGTCGCTAAGTCACGATCGACTCTTTGCAGCCCCATGGACTGCAGCATGCCAGGCTCCTCTGTCCTCCACTATCTTCCAGAGTTAGCTCAAACTTGTGTCCACTGAGTCAGTGCTGCTATCTAACCATCCTGTGCTCTGCCACTCCCTTCTCCTGTGGCCTTCAACCTTTCCCAACATCCCAGCATTGATAGATCTGTTTAAATCAGAAGTTGGTGAGTATTTAAACTCACTTCCACTTACTCTGACTCAGCCGTGACACTACTCAATGCGCAGTCTAACACACCAACTCGGCCCCGCGTCCTCGGGTCCCAACACTCTACTCGGCCCTAAATAAACAGAACAATCATTGTAAATTACAGCTGCCACTAGGAAATTTTTAGAAAAATACCCCCCAAAAAGAAAATGAAAAGCCTTACTGATTATCATGTGCAGATTAAGAACTTAACATTTTTTGTTTTTTTTTTAGAACTTAACATTTTTAACTTTTTACTTGTACCTTTTTTAGTACTGTCAACTGTTTCATCATGAACTGCATTTCTTTTATAATTTAAAAAAGGAAAAGTAAAAAAGGATGGTTAAGGAAAAAAACGGTCCAAGATGCAATGCATGATACCTGACTGGACCTTGATCTGGTTGGTGTGGTAGCGGGGAGAGGAGTTATAAAAGACGTTTTGGCATAACTGGCAAATTTCAAATGTAAATACTATTGTATCAGTGATAAATATTTAATATATGTACTACAATAACTGTCACAGAAGAAATAAAAATCCAACATATAATATCAAAATTAATGTAAAAATGAACTTTAAAGTGGTCTGACTATGCATATCAAGTATCAACTCCCCACAGGGTCACAAAGGGTTGAACATGACTATGTACACACACACACACACACACACACAGAGTAATCAAGGAACCCAAGGAATTGCAGGAACCCAGCCTCTCAGCTGGGTGCTCTGCTCCCCCTTCAACAAGTTTCATGGCTGGTCTTCAAACAGTTGGTGAAAGAGAAGCCTGCTCTAATTCACAACTTCTCTTACACATTGTTTCCTGATGTCTAGCCTAGCTTGTTCTGTAAGGACTCTATTCAAATAAACAAATTTTTCAAGGAAGTTATTTTAAAATTTCCCCTTGGTAATCTCAAGAAAAGTAATTAGCGAGATAATGCTTCCCTGGCCTAACTTTGGCATACTAGTTTTTATAACACAGTCAACATAGTTTTATATATTTCCATTAAATCAACCTCAGGCAATCCATTTCAAATATTAATCTTTTAACCTAAAAATAATTTGAGTAAAGAAATCCACATTACATCTGTATGAACTGGTTTAATAAACTACAGTACATCTACACAATGGAATCTTATCCACCAATTTTAAACAGTTACCTTAGTTTTACAAGTAATTACAAGCACCAGTGTATAAACATGTACATTATATGGCATTACACTAAAAAAAAAGGCAAATGAAGAACCACAGCATAATTTCAGTTTTGTAAAAACATTTAAAAATAAGTTACTAATGCATATGCATACCTGCATATACACAGAAAAACAAAAATGAAAGAATATTCCAAGCCATTGAAGAGTCACCTCTGGTACAGGACTTGGTGACTGGAAGGCACAGAAGGGCATTTTTTAACAATACATTTTTTACATATTTACCTTTTTTTTTTTTTACTGTATTTAACAATATTGTAATTAAAAAATGCAAATCTAGAAAAACTCCTAAGCATGAAAGACACTGAATCAAAGGTGTTACGTAGTTTAAAATGAAAACGTGCATAATTGAGTGCTACTATACAGGACGTCCAAATCACACTCTACGTCCCCTTACAGTTTATAACGCTCTCATGTAGGTTCTTCCATGTGATTTTCACCAGCACAACGCCTCCACACAGCTGGCAAAGTAAGTTTTATCATCTCCATTTCACTGATGAGAAAAATAAGCCTCAGAGAAAGGAAGGCAGTCATAAAACTAACAAGCAGCAGAGAGCTGGTGAAGAGCAAGAGTGGTCACCACACGAGCTGGCGACTATCAACTTCGCCCCCAGTGATGACGGCCCCCCACTCCCGAGGCCAAATCCAGCCCTGAGGCCAAATCCAGCCCCGAGGGGCACAGTCTGCAGCAAGGGCACAGCTGTGTCTCCCAGGAACGTGACCCGCCATTCACGTGAAAAGCATATCGGGGGCTTGTCTCGCCACCAGCACCCTGCTCTTAGGAACCAAGTAACCTGTCTTTACATGAAACTCTGTTGGTAAATGCAGGGCTAATGTTCTTCAAAATGAAGTCAACACATGCTTACCTCTATTGTTCCTGTGGCAAATAAGCCATGCACTGAATTTATGTCACAAACATTATTCTCCCTAAAACAGTAAAGTGATAAGAGAGAGAGTTTTAGCATCTGCTTTAGGTGGAGGGACACTCAAAAACCTTCCTAAACAAGGAGGAAACCCACTGCTGTGGAGAAGGCGGCAGCCAGCAGACTTGATCATCTGCATATGAAAAGCACCGAGGCAACACCAGGTCCAGTGCATGGCACAAGGGCCCTGGAGTTTCAGACCCTGGGGGGTGACACTCTACCTGCCAGGGGATGAGACATGGCAAAGCTTGCTTCAAAACCACTATCCTACCGCCACAGAACAAATTTCTCAAGAATTTTCTCCCAAAGGAAAATAACACAGGCTATCACAACACCAATCCAGAAGCTTAGCCAGCCTGTTGAGTCCACTGTTCCTAGGCTTGACTTTTCTTTTTTCTGCAAAATGGTGTTCACCAACTTCATATTGTCATTATGAGGATTAAATGAAAAAACTATAAAATGCTCAGCACAGTGTCTAAAGTTTATAAGACCCTCAATAAATAAAAATTGCTATTATAAACAGGAAATTCTAGAAGTAAAGAGCAGATAACTCTTTATTATTCAAGGATTCATCATGGTGTTACAATTTAAGAAAATAAAATTGGTACTTCAAACCAATGTGGGGAAAAAAAAAAGATAACAAGAGTTTACCGGTTTTTATCATTACCTATTTGTCCAACCTTTAAAAATCCCTTTCAAGGCAATAAGGAAACTCTAGCAAACTCATTATATACCTAGGTGAGACGTAATCCAGCTTCCACTCCATACTAGCTGTGTGACCTTAAACAAGCTACTTACCCTCTCTGAGTCTCAGCTGCACTGTCTTGTAAAATGGAGGTAATAACAGTACCTATACTGTAAAATTTTGCTATAAGCTTCAAATGAGTGAATATATATAAAATCCTGAATAAAGCCTGGCACATAGTAAGCACTTTCACTACTGTATTGCTGTTGCTACTACTCAGTATTAATATTATTACAGATTCATTCCTAAAATATTTCTCTATGAATAAAACAAAAGTAAAAACTATAACACATGATAAAAAAACGTGAAAAAATCTTAAATGTCCACTAGCAAAAACATAAAAAATAAAAATTAAAAAAATGGTACTCTGAGTTAATTCAAAATTTCCCTACAAGAGAAAATATCAGAAAATTAAATCATGAATGAAAATTTAAAGAACACAGCAAAAAACAATAACTGAATTTCTGGGCTGAGTTAAAACCTTCTCGGGTAGGTTAAAAAAAAATTTTTTTTTAAATTTTAAGACATCACCAGGTCTTTCAGCGATTTTTTTGTGTGTGTAAGAGAAAATTTAACATTATTCTTTTACCTAAGCTGCCCAGAGAGCTCTGATTAAATGCAACACAGGCTATGTGACAACTAATTGGGTGTCTGGCTCCATCTCCTGGCCAAAATAAATACAGCAGGATTCTTATAACAACACTCACGCAGCATCCGTCTGCAGAGGATTCAGGTACCGTCCTTGTTCCAGGTTTAATCTATAAACTTCAGAGCTGCCAAACAATAAAAGAGTTAAAAATCCAGTAAACTAAAGCAACTTTTCTTCAAGTAAGTATAATTTTTAGAAACATGTATCTGTCATAAGGCATCACTTCCCTTTGTAAAACCGATACAAAAATGTACTCTAAACCTAAAAGATAATCACCTTATTTGTAAATTTGTTCATGCATAAGAGTGATTTCAATCATCCATGTGCCAAGGAAATATTATGAAGTTGTTAAGTAGAATATCATTTACAAATAACAGGAGAATACGAGATCCAAAATGTGTCTATAAGTGTACAAGACTACAATGAAATAACAGTAAAATACTAATAAGGGCTTCCTCTGGGTGGCATAATTATAGAATAGGTGACTTTTTTCTTCTTTATTCTTTTTCATGTTTTCTCAATTTTCTAAAGTGGATAATCACAAAGAAGGCAGCATGTAAGAATAAAATGCTTTAGAACACATGCAATGGGGCTAAGACACTGACTTCCCACCACCGTCGCCCTGCTAGGTTACCATGTCTCTAGATTTAGAGCCCCACGCCAATGAAAGCCAAGGATGTGACCCTTAAATGAGCCAGTCACTTTGGAACTACACTCTTTGAGCAACCACAAGGCAGGGATAATGTCTTATTCTTCTTTTAATCCTGCTCCTCCATTTTAAGAATAGAAATCAGTTTGGGAAGCTGGAAAGGAGAAAACAAAGGGTGATTAGACCCAATACCTTGCACCAACAAAGTACAAGTCACAGGATGGATAATGGTAAGAGAAATCTCGCCCAAACTTTGGTATTCTGGTTTTGTAGTAGAAACCTGATTGTGAATGAAATTCGATGTATCTATCATTATGCAGGAAGACAATCTGAAAATGAAACAAGAAAATTAGTTTGCTTAGGTTTCTAGATAAAGTGTTTATTTCATCATCACTGAAACTGGTAAAGCAAGAAAAACTCTCATCTCCTCCTTTTTCTTGCTCTCTGTAAACACACGTGTATAAACACAACTCACCATCATGGCTAAGAAATATGTTAAGAATCAGCCTCTCCATTAGTTACTTAATGCCTTCCTGCATTCTAGATAGGTTTTTTGGCAAACTTTACCTTGTAACTGAAAGACTTACAAGCAAATTTATCAGTATCTAGAGAAAATATATCATAAAATTGAATGTTCCGAAACATACAATAAATAGCTGCCACAGGCTATGGAAACTGTACTCCATAGTTGCCAGAACTGAAGACAATATATAAAACATGCCAGCTCTGGAATTTCAATTTTCCTTCACAATGACACCTGACATCACTAAAAATTTTTCATCGTGAATTTAACAAGGCACTTCTGACAATCCTGTAACTGCTGAAAATGGCCACAGAGCTGAAAGATGCATTAATGGCACCAAAAAAGAAAAAAAGCAAATGTAAATATATAAGCTGTGCCTTGAACTGCTTCAGTGTATGCTACAACCACTTACTTGCATGTTTAAGAATATTAAGCAAACAACCTGCTATTGTACTTTTCACATATGAATAAGAAACTGAAAGCAACCTGGCAAACAATACTACTTTAAGTGCAATAATGAAAATCACACATCTAGGATATAAGATGGTCTAAAAAGATGACAGCTACCAATTCTTAAAAATATAGGTACCGCCTCATTCATACATGCTATGGAAAACTTACTTTGACTTGCCAAAGACTATCTCCATCCTCGCTGTCACATTCACAAGACAAACTGAAGAGATATTAATAGCAAACAACAGGTCTTATTTTACTGCATAGCTACTTTAAATTTAACAATGGAAATACCATAAAAACACTTATCATAAAAATAAATTCCACTCATTCATTTCTTGAGCACAGGCAGTACAAACCAATGCTATAAAACATACCTTTGAATAGTCATCAGACAAAGTTTCAAAGGTGACAACTGAAAAATAAGTAAGAAAAATATAATTATCAATGTTTTTAATAAAAATATAAAATTGATGCAAAGATTCTAATTCAACACAGACATTATACACAAATGCTGGGCTTTGCTTCCTTTTTTGCCATCTACATAAAACAAGAACAAAGATATCATACTATATTGCCCCTACAACACCAAGAGGGGGAAAAAAAAAACACCAAGTAGAAAGTTAAATGTTTTATAGTTTCTTAATACAGATCAGCTACATTTTCCAGAGAACTGCAGCAAATTAGATAATAAATTCACAAAATATAATGATTCATAAATTTTGTCACAGATTTTCTGAGATGTTCAAAGTAAAATAACAAACATTAAAAGCTCAAAAATGTTTGCTTGAAAAAAGATAACAGTAACTTTTTACTCATTCATAGTATACCTGCTAAACAAAACTAAAGAGTGAAAACAGTTACTATTAGCAGCATATGGAGTTTGTATTGCTTTTTTTAAAAAAGAGTACAAGAAGTTAGGAGAATACAAATTCCATTAACTTCTTTTCCCTCACCTCAAACATGGGGCCATCTCCATGTTGGAGATGAACTTCCCCATCTCAACCTGCCCTTGGTACCAGGCAGAATTCTAAGAACGACCCCACTGACCTTCCCCAGGGTGTAGTCCGCTACTCTGGAGAGTGTGGGTGGACCCTGTCAACTTGAGGAGACACCGCTCTTGTGAGTGCATCACATTTTATGGCAAAGCTGAAATTTATAACTCTTCCGAGCCCTTTAAAAACAGTGAGTGTCCTCCAGCTGGAGGCAGAGAGCAGGTGAGGAGGCATGCAGGGGCCTCCAGAAGCCAAGTGTGGCCCCCTGGCTCACAGCCAGCAGCAAGCGGGACCTCAACCCAACAACCACAACAAACTGCGTTCTGCCAACCACCTGTAAGTTTGAAAAAAGATCCTGCCCAGGGCCTGTTGAAGAGTCCCATGCCGCTGACATCGTGAGGTCAGTCCTGAGCACAGAACACAGGCGAGCCTGCACGGACTTCACCTATAGAGCTGTGAGGAATGAAATGAATTTTTCAAAGCTGCCACATTTACTGTAACTAATACACAACCCATGCCCAGTTTAAAAAGGAGAAAAGTACCCAAATGTAAAAATGTAAAAACTATTTTCGTGAATTCAAATATAATCTCTTACCTTCTGAATCCAAACACCTTTCAAACTTCAAGGATAATTGATAGGTGTCATAACATCGAACTCGAGGTTTATATGTTCCTATAAAAAATTCGATGGGATGTAAAACCTAAAGGACATATTTTTTATTACCAATATCCTGCAGATATGTTGATTATACTTTTTGTTTAGAGGTTAAGTAGGATAATTATAAGTTTACCAAACAAAAAGAATTTAAAAGCGGCCCTCTCCAACATCCCAAGGGAAAAATGAGCAAAGGATATAAACAAGCAAGACACAGAAAATGAAATACAAATAACTAATAAACTTCACAAATATTCTAACAAAGTAGGTTTTTTAAAAACTAGTTTTTATCTATCAAATGGCCAAGATGAGAAATTGGTTAATATCTGCATTTAGGTGGATATTTAAAAAAAAAATCCTGGTAACAAGCATGAAAGTGAAAGTTTGAAAGTGTTAGTTGCTCAGTCATGTCCAACTCTTTGCAATCCCATGGACTGTAGCCCACCAGGCTCCTCTGTCCATGGAATTCTCTAGGCAAGAATACTAGAGTGGGTTGCCATTCCCTTTTCAGGGGATCTTCCCAACTCAGGGATCGAACCTGGGTCTTCTGCACTGCAGGCATACTCTTTACTATTTGAGCCACCACGAAAGCGCAGTGACAAGTTTAAATTGTTACAAATTCTTTGAAGGACAATCTGGCAGTATTTGTAAAATATGTGATATTCTTACATCTTAAATCTTTATTTCAATTTATACAAATTTATTCTACAGAAACACACCCATAAGTGTACCAAAGACATGAAGAATATTCACTGAAGCATTATTTACAAATGGCCAAAAGATGAAAGCAAATTAAACGTCCACTGAGAGGGAAACGGTTATGTAAATGATGGTAAATCATTAGATGACTTATAAAGAGGATAACAAAGACCTGTAACCCCTGACATGGAAGCTATGAAAACACAGTACAAAGTGAAACGCAGAGGGAACACAGCGGGAGCGGTGAGCCCTGCAGGGTAGTGCTCATGATACTAATACGATCCAGCTTCTGTAAAACTAAACTGTGACAATGCTAGCCCTCTGCACTGAAAAACGATGGAGGAATAAGCACAGTGACACCTGGTATATTTTAATACAATCTCAGGGTCTTTCACATTTTCTCCTGTGTATTTCTATTACACTTTTTATAAGATTATCACATTTGCAATCAGGAAAAGACTGATTTTTAAAACCAGTAAGAATATTTCTATTTTTAAAAATTTCTTAGCCATGCTCTATTGCATGTGGAAAATTAGTTCCCCAAGCTGGGATCAAACTCAATTCCCCATGCAGTGGAAGCACAGAGACTTAACCACTGGACCATCAGGCAAGTTCATAAACCAATGAGGATACTTCTTTAAAAAGCGATGAAGTAGTCCTATATTTTCTGACATGGATCAAAGCCTAAGATCTCACTTAAAAATAGTACATAGTATAGCATGGGCTTCCCAAGTGGCACTAGTGGTAAAGAACCCTCCTTCCAATGTAGGAGATGTGAGAGATGATGTTTGATCCCTGGGTCAGGAAGATCCCCTCGAGTAGGAAATGGCAACCCACTCCAGTATTCTCGCCTGGCAAATCCCATGGACAAGGAGCCTGGGGGGCTCCAGACCACAAGGTCACAGAGTCAGACATGACTGGGTGACTGAGAACACACATTATAGTACCATATATCACATACATGCTCTCTACGTTATATATATGTTATACATAATCTACAATTGTAGCCTATATCCTGAACACAAAACTGGAGGCTAAAAAGCACGGACAGTGTTAGTAATGAGACAACCACTGACACAGAGCAAAAGAGAATAGCATGTAGATGGATAAAAGTTCTGTCAAACAAGAAAGTGGTTGGTAAAGAGACACAGATCAATGTTAAGCCAAAAACAACAATTAAAAAAGTAAGTGGACAATATCTAGAATATATGGAGCAAAAGCAGAACCAAAAACGGTTGAGTAATGTTGCTGTAAAGGACAATACCAGTTCCCTATATTTTAGGGCTTTTTCATACTGAGGAATTATTGTTAACATGAGGTCTTAGTAGCATAAGAAACACTAATACATGATAGAGGAAATCATTATGATAAAAATGAACTTTCCTGGAACTCTCACTCCTTGTTGGTAGGAGTATAAAATGATATGACTACTCTGAAAAAATACCTAGCAGGTTCTCATCAAACTAAATACACACCTACCCTATGACCCAGCAATGTCCTTAAAACAGACTTGTATGGGATGGTTCATAATGTTTTATCAGTAACAGCCAAAGAATGAAAATAGCCCAGATGTCCATCAGCTGAAGAATAAACAAAGTGTGGCATATTCCTCGAAGGAAATATCACTTGGTAACAGCAACCAAAAAAGAACTATTCACACATATAATGACATGAATGAATCTGAAATATGAAGTCCTAGGTGAAATAATTCTTGCACAAAAAGTATACATAGTACATAACTGCATTTATACAAAAGAGTCTATTTAAAACAGGCTAAGTTTATCTGTGGGAAAAAAGTAAATCACAGAGAGGTGGCTGGCTACACATGAGGTGGGGCAGGGATTGACTGTGAGGAGCATAACGGAATGTTCTGGGTGGAAGGAAAGTTCTGGATCTTGCTGGGGGTTTGGGCTACACAGGTATATATATTTGTCCAAACTCATCAAAATTATTTACTTATGCAAATTTTTTTCAAAAGCCATAAATAAATACTGTCATTCACTTAATGACATACACCTGAGGTATTTATGGGTGAACGATACTAACATCTACAACTTACTCCGAAAAGCATCAAAACACAGGGTGGACTGATGGAAGGCAGAGAGATGGATAGACAGGTGATAAAGCAAACACAGCAAACTATTGAAGCATTAAGGTGATACGTAAATGGCTGTTCACTGTACAATTTTTCCGGTATTTCTGTATGCTTGAAATTTTTTAATAATAAAATATTAGAATAATTCTCCCTTTCCCTCCAAAGTATTTCCTGTTATGAAACGTATGTTAAATTATAACAAAAACGATGCTTACCTGTTGCTAAAATATACTGCCCATCTTTTGATACCCTAATAGTGGTACAAACAGTAGGCATTTCGAAATCCTGAATAAGTTCAATTCTCCTACGGACATCTGCAAAGAAAGAAAATACATAATTGGTTTAAAAGCCATGTGCTTATTCTGTGTCACAGGAAGACAGAGCATTCAAAGCAGTCCCTATAAACAACAACCCAGTGCCTCCCAGCCTTGGGAAGGCACCAACATAGCCCCACTACACAGCAAGACTTTCTCTCGGCTCCTGCCTTATTTTTCTAAACCATTTTATTTGTACTTTTCAAAAAGCAAAGAGTATCACTGTTAATAGGGGGAAAAAATGTCCGTAATAGTGCATCAAGCATCCAGTTTCAAGCCCTGGATTAAGGGAGACAGAATAAACATTAAACCACTACTGTTATTCAATCATGGATCATGGCTAAATAATAAGCTTAAACCTTTAAAATCTTTAAAAATTTATATAAGAAACTGGTACCAAGCTGCCTTTTGCCTCTCCTTGGCAGCACTGATCTGTAGCCAAGAGGACCCAGGCTAGGGAAGACTTACAGCAATCTCTCTGGGTTAAAACACTAAGACGGACTCTCAAAAACGGGTTCCCTAACACAAGGGAGTGTGCCCTCTGCAAGGACCGCGTATGACTGTCTGGCCCCTCATTGCCTCGGTCACTAAACCTGAACATGAGATTCGAACCAGCTAAGGAGGAGTGGGCCACACAGCTTGGAAGACAGGGATAGTTTTGAGATGGGTTAGAAAGTAGTCAGTGAACTACTTTTTTCCTCTAAATGATCTGAGTCTGTTTGCTTACACACTTGAACACTGGAGTGGCAAAGAGAAAAACAGAAGAAATCAGAATCAGTAAGCATTGTGAAAGCAGCAATTGCTTCTTTCCTTTGATTTAAAGTTTTAATTTTCTAATTTTTAAAAAATTAAATTACTTATCATTTTTGTTTGCACTGGGTCTTCCTTGCTGAGCACAGGTTTTCTATAGTTGTGGCAAGAGAGGGCTACTCCCTAGGTGCAGTGTGTAGGCTTCTCATTGCTGTGACTTCTCTTGTGGAGCACGGGTTCTAGGTGCATGCGCTCGAGAGTTGTGGTGAAGGGGCTTAGTCGCTCCACTGCATGTGGGATCTTCCCGAACCAGGGATCGAACCCACGTCCTCTTCATTACAAGGCAAATTTTTAACCACTAGACCACCAGAGAGGTCCTTAATTTTCTAATTTTACAGATACTATATAAAGGCTACTTTTCTAAGATACTTGCTTTGAGGTATTTATCTCACATCCCAAAACCCCTTCATTATCTTAGGTCTTTGATTTGTAGAAAATAACTTGAACAAAATATATGGAAAGTTAATCATTTTTCATACATGACAAGTTGTAACAGAAAATTTAATTAAAGTCTGTATGAAAGGATTTAAGTTAAAAACTGATCTTACAAGCCTATCTTCCCTGCTGTCTTAACTTAAAAGAATCAAAATCTTCTACAATGATCTTTCAGGGTTCATGTTTATATGTCCTGTATATAAAATTACTTTGTTTAGAAAGTAAAGGTTCAACATCTCTGTATCTCAAAAACTGATAGATGGATTTAACAAACGGAAAAAGATTTTAATATGCTGGAAAATAAAGTAATTATGGAAATGTTAGGACAGTTAGTCCTTCTAGGATTGCTTCAGTGGGTATGGCAAGACTGTAAGGCCCCAGCCAGTCCATTACCTGAGTCATTTCTCAGCATTATTTATGCAGCTGGGGAGCTTTACGAGTGAGTCTCCTCTAGACAAAGAGAAAGCTGGCTTACTGCTTGCTTTAAGGCGGTGGACCCCTATGTTCAGTGTTCCTCGGCTGCAGCACAAACCTACTGCATGCAGAGCACCCATCTGGGCCACCCTGAGTGCCCCCATGGGACTTTGGGCACGGACTTTGGGCAGGGAAGTGACCGAAGAATGCTGGTGTTCACGCTATTTGCTGTGCCACATGACTCATGGGGTCCTTGTCTCTGACCCAGGAGACTTATGACTTCTGCCATCATCCATGAAACAGTAAGAGGCTAACCGACTGCTGTGTGAGTAGGTGAAAATCAAACCCCATGCCCACGGGACTGTATTTACCACAACAAGTTTTCTTCAGAGGGAAAAGGCAAGAATGTTTATTTCCCACTGCACAAATCCCACTGTGTTTTTGTGAACATTCACTTAAATATAACAATAAGTGAGTAAAAGCATTATAACATGGATCACAAATGTGGCTGAAATGAAAAAAAATTATACTCACCGACATCTTTCTTCTGAAGTGCCCTCTTCTTCCTGTCAGAAAGCCACTTAAAGAAAATGAAGAGACTTCATTTTAAAACACATTTACGTGAACTGTCTCTCTGCTTACAAAAAATAATACATGCTCATATAAAAAACTGGAACCTTAAAGGATTATGTAACAGAGAAAAGGAAAACACTCTGTAGTCCTAACCCTACTGTTACATCCTGGCATAATGGATTTTTTTCTGGTATGCATTTTCCTTTACTAGACAATAAATTTTAAGGACTACCATATTTTACACAAGAGAAAACTAGTTCATCTAATCAACCTAAGGGAAAGCAGTAAGCCTCAAACATTATGGGTTATAAAACTAACATATGGAACCACTTGAAGTGAAATTTCAAAAAGCAAAACATTAAATGGAGAAACTGTCTCAAATAAACACATTTTTTACAAAATATAAAACTAGATAAATAGCTGAGACTTGATAATAAAGAAGTGATACTCTTAAAAGTCATATTCACAGACACCACATTTAGATCTGTAATTACTGTACCTTATTTTAGCTAGCAATATAATTTCATTGCATGAAAAGGTCCAATGATGAAGCACTAATAAAGTACAATTACCTTAAAGCAGTGGTTTTCAACCAGGGGCAATTTTGCCTCCAAAGGGCATCTGGCAATTCTTAAAGCGTACCTGGTAGCACAATGGGGTGGGGTGGGCACTCCTGGCATCTAGTGGGTAGAGGTTAGGGATGCTGCCAAACCTCCTACAATGCACAGGACAGCCTGTACGCTAAGCACTGTCCCTCCCAAAGTGTCAATAATCATGAGGTTAAGAAAACATATGCTCAAGAAATCAAAGAAAACCAAGAGAAAGATTAATAGATATCATTTCTAAAAGCACAAACCCAACGTACAGCCCATGTTAGACACCAGACATTACAATCTTTAGGGCTCTTTGGTCACACAGACCCACCCCTAAAGACCCTCACTGTGATGTGTGATACCTGAGGAAGGGTGGACACTGGAACACGTGTCACTCTTTGAAGGGCTTGACTCCAAGCCAGAGTTCTCCTCCTGCCTTTGTATTCAGAATACTGATTTGTGGGTTTATACTAGTTTTTGTGATTATATTTTTCTGATTTCATTTGAGGCAATAATGCTTCAACTAAAGGTGATGTTAAACTTTATTTCTGAGCACTCGATATGTTCTTTTACATCAAACTAACACAAGCGAAGGGCTTCCCTGGTGGCTCAGTGGTAAAGAATCCAGAGACTTGGGTTCGATCCCTGAGTCAGGAAGATCCCCTGGAGAAGGAAATGGCAACCCATTCCAATATTCTTGCCTGGAAAATCCCATGGACAGAAGAGACTGGTGGGCTGCAGTCCACAGGGTTGCGAAGAGTAAGAAACAACTGAACAACTAAAGAACAACAAAAGACAAGCAAAACAGAGGTATATTACCAGGGCTTCTCCTTTAATAGGGCATTCAATTTCCTCTTCTCAGAGGTTATGCTCAAGAAGAGGCCAGTTCACTCAACAGCTCGTCTCATACATCATGAAAAGTGAAAGTGAAGGTCTCTCAGTCGTGTCTGACTCTTTGTGACTATACAATCCATAATACTGGAGTGGGTAGCCTTTCCCTTCTCCAGAAGATCTTCCCACCCCAGGTGTCCCGCATCACAGGCAGATTCTTTACCAGCTGAGTCACCAGGGAAGCCCAAGAATACTGGAGTGGGGAGCCTGTCCCTTCTCCAGCAGATCTTCCCGTCCCAGGAATCAAACAGGGGTCTCCTGCATTGCAAGCGGATTCTTTACCAACGGAGCTATGAGGGAAGCCAAATGCTATAATTCCCATGCTATGAGGGATGCTCATACATCATGACCACGGAGCAAAGAGGAGGGGATGGAGACTGCCTTCTAAATGGGAGCCTGGGACCTTAAAAGGGCCAGAAATTCTGTACCACAGTGATGACAGGAAGGAAAAACAATTCATGCTGGAGTTTCTGTACAAACTGACAGCACACTAGACAGAGTCTGTCTTGCACATTAGTACAGGAATGAATCAGTCTAAGTTTTAAAAGTTCACCAAAGACCTGAAAGTTGCCACTGATTCCAGGCATCCTCTTTGCATTCTATAAAAATCACCACTAATAGAGAATGGTACTTTACCAGTGCCAAATAATTTAACCTGAAACCCAGCAAAAGAGCTCCAGAGATGCTGATAACCTAAATCTCCCACTGGACAGGCACCTTGCCGTCATTAGGGGGAGAAAAAAAGAACCCTAGTGGATTTTACATTTAAAGTAGGTAAAGCAAAATAGGCAATTTGTTGATAAGTCAGATTTACTTTAAAAGAAGATTCAGCGATTCCCATGGCAGGATACACATACCTGTTTACTCAACATTTCCATCTGATGTTTATTACGTCAAAACTTCAACATCAAGAAATAAAATTTTGATCTCTTTTGCCCACTACTTTCCCCTTGACCCACAATGTGCTCAATTCTGCATTTCAACTATCAGCAACACGGTGTCCCCAGTCATTCAGATCCAAACCCTAAGAGTCCTCTCTGGATTCTTTCCTTCCTTTCACCTCAAGTCCCTACAGCTATTCAACCCACTAGCAAGTGCCACTAGCCTATCTCCAAAACACCTCCTTTACTCCACCAAATCTTAGTATCTCCTTTGCTACCATCCTAGCCCAAGCATCAGTCTCTCAGCTGGACCATCTAGCTCATCCCCACTCACTCTCCCCAGCTGCAGTAATCTGACATGGAGTAGCCAGTTTGAAACCCAACAACAGCTTCCAATAGCATTAAGAATAAAGCCCTAACTTTCTACCTGAGTCTACAAGGCCCATCTCTCCAGTCTCATCTGCCCCCACTTTCCCACCTCACAGCATTCCACAGCCACCACCGTGGTGCTTCTGTGTCTCCAATGTGCCAAGTGCATTCCATTGTGGGTCACTGACACTTGTTCTCTCAGCACAAAAAAACTCTTCCTTTCCCCTTATCTTCACAAGACTCCATCCTTTTCATCATCCAAGTTTCTGCTCAAAGGTTGCCTCTTGTAGAGAAGACTGCCCTCAAGGCTTTAATCCAAACCACTTTCTCTGAACACTTCATTCACAAGAGCTCTCTTATAGACACTCAGCACTCAAAGCATTTATCGGTATCTGAAGTTGTTCTATTTACTTACTTATTACCCTTTTCTCCAACAGGGAACCATATCTGACCAGTTCATCATGTATCCGAACACTTAGCTCAGGGCTGCCTGCACGTACTCACATCCCAGGAGATGCACTGAGGAAAAGAACAAACTGAAAGGGATCGTGCTGTGTCACAGCTGGAGAAGGAGTTACTTAACGTGAATTCGGAGAAGAAACTCATCGCTGGCTCCAAACCTTTTAGGGTCAGACACAAGAAAAAGCTACATTTATTCTGATTCCCAAGAGCAGAACTCAGACCAACAGCAGCATGTAGGAAGGGCCATGTTTTAAAAACAACTGTCTAACAAGTAATCTCAAGTGGAAAAGAGCTTCTGCCAAAAGTTTCTTGTCACTAGTAGTGCTTCCACAGTGGCTTGTCCATCACTCTTAAGAAATAACATCGAAGCATCAGAGCCTAGGTGTGTGACCCCTGGACAAGTCACCTTTCCCCTCCCTGGAACTTTGCCTATTTCTAACATGAAACGATTGGAAGAGAATTGCTAACTTTCCAAGCCCCTTCCAGTTTTGAAGTCCAAAGACTCAGTGATATCAAGTTAAGTTCAACAAGGTCCAAAAATACCGTCCATGTCATAAATTCTGCAGCAGCAAAGCCTGCATTTTCCTTCACTGCTGTATTTCTAGAACTTGGCATATAACAGAAATTCAACGAACAGCTGAAAAAAGTGAAAGTGTTAGTGGCTCAGTCCGATCCAGCTCTTTTGCAACCCCAGGAACTGTAGCCCACCAGGTTTCTCAGTCGGAGGGATTCTCCAGACAACAACACTGGAGTGGGTTGCCCTTCCCTTCTCTAGGGGATCTTCCGGACCCAGGGAACAAACCTGGATCTCCCCACTGTAGGCATATTCTTTACTACCGTCTGAGCCCCCAGGGAAGCTGATGAGGGGCATTTAAACGGGGGAGAAATATCTGTCAACCAACCTGTCCACGTTTTCCTCCTTGGTTGTAGCAGCGGCTATGAATATCCATACAAGTCCAAAGGGATACTTCCTCTGTCTAGAGAACTCCCCCCAAAAAGAGTTCAAGAAAAACTCATCCATCCTGATTACCCCGAGGCCCAATTTCTGGCGCTGTGACAGCATGGTCGTCGTCTCCCAGCACCGACCAGCTTCCCCAGACACCATCCCTCACCTCTGGGCCTCCCCGGTCTGGGGCCAGCCCGGGCCCAGCAGAAACTGCCAGGGACCGGGCGGAGGAAAGAGGGGCCTCCCGCGAGGAGGAGGACCCGACCTGACTCACCTCGGGAAGGGACTTGCCGCAGCTGAGACTGTAAATCTTCACCTCGTTGAGGCTGGAGACCTGCATGGCGGCGCCCAGGAGGCAACAATCCCGGTTCCTGTCCGGGACCCTCTCCCAGCGGAGCAAGCGAGAATCAAAAACTTAAGACAGCCTCCCCGAGCGCCTGAGCAGCGTGAGGCACGGGAGCCGGCGCCGGCGCCGGCGCTGGGTGATTACGCACTTCCGGGTGCCGGTGGAGGGGGGGGGAGGAACAAAATGGCCGACCCCGGAAGTGACGGAATTAAGGAAGAGGAGCCGATGAGGCTTTAGGAGAGATGGCAGCGTCCTGGGAGCCATGTGAAGATGGGCAGGGCCGAAACCGCTCTCCCTCCTCACGGCAGGGAGACGCAGGAAGCTCTTAGGGTCGCTGCCCAGGCCGAAGCGTCGAGGTACCCCGGAGGGCGTGGCTGGCCGGGCTGACTGGAAGCCTTGTGGGGGAGGGAGTCCCAGTCGATGAAGCCAGGTGGAGGAGACCTGTGAGCAAACGCGGAGTGGAAGTAAAATTCCTTTCTCACCGGTGTTTCTGCACTCTTCCCATAAAAATAAATGCTTTTGGAGATTGATGTAGTAAAAAAAAATATTTTTGGGGACTGCCCCGACGATCCTCGGCTTCCTCTTCAGGTGGTACGGGTTCAATCCCTGCTCTGGGAGCTAAGGTCCCGCGTGTTGCATGGAGTGGCCAAAGATGAAAATTAAATAATTAAATGAAGGTGTTTTTTTTTTTCCCCCAGATGTATTTATCAATTGGCTGCAATCAGTTTTCTTTGCTGCATGTGATTTCTGTAGTTGTGGGGGTTGGGTGGGTGTGGCGCTTTTTTGTGATGCTTGGGCTTCACTGCGATGCTTGATGTCAGTGCGGTGTCTTCTTTTGTGAAGCTCTGGGCTTGCAGGCCCAGTGGTTGCGGCCAACGGGTGGGCTTGGCTGCTCAGCAGCATGTGGGATTTTCCCAGACCCCTGACTGTAAAGTCGTTCAGTCGCGTCCGACTCTTTGCGACCCCATGGACTGTAGCCTACCAAGCTCCTCTGTCCGTGGGATTTTCCAGGCAAGGGTACTAGAATGGGTTGCCATTTCCTTCTCCAGGGAATCTTCCCAACCCAGGGATTGAACCCGGGTCTCCCGAATTGCAGGCAGATGCTTTACCACCTGAGCCACCAGGGAAGACCCCTGGTGGAACCCTGCATTGGGGGGCGGATTGCTATCTACCACAGGCACCGGGTAAGTCCCTTCATCTGGATTTGGCATTCGTCCATAGAAGAGCAAAATTCGCCACTCCTGGGGACTTCCCTGGTGGTCCAGTGGCTAAGGCTCCATGCCCCCAATGCAGGGGCCCTTGGGTTTGATCCCTGGTCAGGGTAGTAGATCCCACATGCTGCAACTAAGACCCAACACAATCAAAGAAATAAATAAAAACAAATATTATTAAAAAGAAAAAAGTTGCCACCCCAATATGTCTCTTTGGCATGTGCATTATTTCCATCTGGAAACAATCACAGCCCAAAAGACATGGGAAGAGACTTTTGATCTTCCCCTTCTCTGTCTAGCAGAATGTAGCCAGAGGACCTGTTCTAGGAAGGGAGCTATCACCAGAGATAACTATAGTATGAACTAGGTGTGGTGGACAGGGAGGAACCTAGCAAAGTGTTAAAATTCTTCTTGGTGTCCCGTTGTCTCTGAAGTACCCAGCAAGCATTTATTTGTTTAGCAACATTTGCTTTTTAATCTCCATGTCAGTTGCCTTCCTCGCCTTTGAAGTCTCAAACCATGGTATTTGGACCTCCTTGGTGGCTCAGTGGTAAAGAATCCACCTGCCAATGCAGGAGACTTGGCTTCAGTCCCTAGGTCAGGACGATCCTCTGGAGTAGGAAATCACAACCCACTCCAGTGTTCTTTTTGCCTTTTTATACTATTCATGCAGGAGGAGAAGGAGGTTGACAGGGGACGGAATGGTTGGATTGCATCACCGACTCAGTGGACATGAGTTTGGGCAGACTCTGGGAGATAGAGTGAAGGACAGGGAGATCTGGTGTGTTGCATTCCATGGGGTCACAGAGTCAGACACGACTTAGCGACTGAACAACAACAAGCAGTATTCTTGCCTGGAAAATTACATGGACAGAGGAGCTTGCTGTGTTACCGTCCATGGAGTCCCAAAGAGTTGGACAGGACTTAGCAACTAAGCCGCAGCAGCAGTGAGGGTATTTAAGGTGAGGGTTTCGACTGTTTTGGCGTGTTGAGTAACTGAGTAGTTTCCCTGAGTCTCTCCCATGTATTCATGTTAGTACACTTTTATTTTATTTTTCTCATATTAATCTGTCTGATGTCAGTTTAATTCTTAAGCCAGCCAAAGGAACCTAGTAGGGTAGAGAAAGATATTTTTCCTTCCTGGCAATTCCACTAAATAAGGATATATTTTTTAAAAAATGTACTAAGATAAAAAGGAAAAGTGATCAGGAATGAAGTGGATTTGAACCTGATATCTTATGAGATGGGTGTGTGGCGGTATTGACAGTCACAGCCTCTCACTTACGTATCATTTTTAGAAGGTTCACAACCTTTCTCTGCTGATCATCCAGTTACTTAGAGACCTAACTTTACTGTTGCCTAGATCTGAGGACTTAAGAATTCTTGGAGTAGAATATTTTCTCATTCTCCTATGATTTCACTGTACTGAATAAATGCCTTTTTTAGTAGATTTTTATTACCAAAATACACAAAATCCTACAAATAATAAATAACGTGGATGCCGTGCTATGCTAGATGCCTATTCTTGGCAGTTTCCTTCAGGCACTGTTTTCCTTAAGTCACAATCTCTCAAGGCTAATTAAAAGGTCATTTTTAAAATAAAGCCCATAAAACTTTCTTTCTTTAATTAAACTTGGGATGGTCTCCTTTTTAAAAATTAAAAAATTAATTTCTAAACAATTTTTAAAGGTTACTATGAAATATTGACTTTTACAATTATTTGTAGTTTACCGTTACTACAAAATATTAGTTATATTCCCTATGTTATAAATAACATCCTTGTGCCTATCTTACACCCAGTGGTTTGTACCTCCCACTCGCCCACCCCTTTATTGTCCCTCTGATAACCACTAGTTTGTTCTCTCTTTCTGCTTCTTTTGTTACATTCTTTTGTTACAGCTAATTTGCTGTAGTTTTTAGAATAAACATCATACATATATAAGCAATATCATACATATTTATCTTTCTCTGACTGATTTATTTCACTTAGCATAATGCCCTCCAAGTTCTTCCATGTTGCTGCATATGGCAAGATTTCATTCTTGTGACTGAATAGTTTTCCACTGTACGTGTAGATGGACATACACACACATACACAGAATTTACCTGTTGATGAACCCTTAGGTTTTTTCCATGTGGTGTAGAGTCCTTTTGAACGTGTTCTTCACCCTGTTGTTTTCTTTCTCCCTCATTTATCATAGGGATTTGTTTTACGTATTTAGAAGTATAATAGTGTATTGAACTCATATATGTAAAACCAAGTTTCAACAATTCACACATGAACCATCGTGTTTCAGCTACACCCTCACCACTTCCTCATCCTTGGATTATTTTGAAAGATTTGAAGTCAGTCCATGACAATTACTTCTGTGGGTTGTAACGTACTTGTCTGACCACCCCTTCCATCTAGACGTGATGACAAGTCTGGGCCTTAATTCATCTCTGGGTTTCCTGGGCCTACCCCAGTGCCTGGCACATAGCACACTCTCAGTAAAGATTTCTTGATTAAAAAAGGTATCAATTAATCACTCTCATCCTGACCCAAAGTCCTAGTTATTTGTTACCTACGTTTTGGCCTTTGGAATATTGAAAACAGCACAGCTCTCTGACAGATGATGGTTGTTTCAAACATGCCCAGTTATACACCTTGTCTCTCCAACAAGAAATGTCGTAGCTTAGAGTCAGGAAACACATTTGAAGGAATGCAGTGTTCTCTGCCAGGTAGAACAAGGTGTTCTCGGTCCTCAGTGCCAGGATGGCACCCTCCCCACAGTCACTGGCCTGAGGGTTCAATCCAGTGTTTTATAGAGTTGTTTTCCCCTGAGGATGGAACTACAAAGCAGGTGCTGCTTCTCAGGTGTTTCTAGTTTCATCCCTAACACAAATATTCAGTCGTAGACTAGGATGAACTTCAATGTGGTGCTTTATTCAATACCTATCCTTGGAGCTAAGAGCACAGACTTTAAAGCCACACTGCCTGGATCCAAATTCTGGCCCTACCACTGGCTACCTGGATAGAGACTGGAGAGAACAAGTTTTGTAATCTCTATGCCTCTGTTTCCTCATTTGAACAATGAGGATAATTTTGGAACCTACCTCAGAGGGCTTGACGTAAAGATAAAATGATTGCATGCCATAAATCATTGAGTCCAGGATATCTATTACTTTGAAATCAGGATGTGTCTTGTGTGTCAAGAATATTTAATTGACAGTAATTTTTCTTCTAATAGTACATGGGATAATGGTACATCTTATAGTTAATGAGCTTCTAGATTCAATAAAATACATATGGGACACTTAGAACACTTCCTGACATAGTAAGCACTGTGCACTAGTTGTTGTTATTAATGCTGGGGAACCAAAACATTAAAAACAGTTTAAGGAAAAAAAAAATCAAGTTGTAGACTTTAAATAACCTTAAATGCTGTGTTATTAGTTGCCATTCCAGAAACCTTCAAGCAGCCTTCAAGATCCCTCTCCCAATTCCTTACTTCCACAGCCCATTAATCTCCAAATCTTTTTGATTCTACCTTTCAGATGTCGAATTCATTCTTCTGTGTTCCCAGTGTGAGACAAGGTCAAATCTCATCCTCTCCCACCTGGCCCAACAAAATCCTTTTGTTCTGATCTTTGTACCTCAAATCTGTCTCACAGGAGACAAAGTCATGTCTCTAACAGGCAAACCCAATCACATTAATACTCCAACTCAAAGCATTTTAGTTCTCCCCACATCTGAACAACCTGGCTGCCCCCTTCTGACTTTCCCAGCCGCCACACCTGGTGCTGGCTCCTCCCCAGCACCTCTCTCACCTGCACCCTCACTCCCCAGACTCTCTGAGCTGAAGTACATACAGCTTGAAGAATATGAGACCCCCAAATGGGACTGACACATATATGCTATTGATACGATGG